GAATGCACAAATTGTAAATGGACATTTTTTTTCAATAATCAAAAACAGAAAGTCTGGGTGTGAAGCTACAAGAGTAGGATCGTCTGCAAATATTACATACTGAAAAGATAGGTATGCATTTTATAATATCATTAATATAGATTTTTTTTTTAAGGGCCGAGTATCGACCCTTGAGGTACACCACAAGATAAACAACGATTGTCAGAACAATGTGAGTTGTATACAGTGTATTGTTTTCTATCAGTTAGGTAGCTATTAAACCATTATACCACGAATTCCGTAATATTGCGATAATAAAATTGGATGAGATAATGTACTGGAAGGAAATAGCATTCGCATTATTTGAATAGTTCGCAACAGGTATAAAAAGAGATTACTAGATCAATAGCCTGAGCACGATAAGATACATGATGCAGTGCTAGTTAACATTACAAAAATGACTGCACAATGAACAAGAACATATAGAACCTACACTCTTAAAAATACCTAGTCAGATTTTGATCAGATTTTCTAGTCACATTTCTTGACTAGATTTTAGTCATTATGACTAGATTTTAGTCATTATGACTAGAAATCTATCCATTTTCAAACAAGTTTGACTAGTAATCTAATCCATTATCGTTCGTGACTAGTTTTTTCGGTTCAAAAGGACTAGAAACTAGTAAGTGCCCCTGGGATCCTTTATTCTAGTCAGTTTGACTAGTTTCTAGTCAAATCTGACTAGACATTTTTAAGAGTGTATCCTGAACGTGCTTTGAAACCGTTACATTTTGTAAACTATTGCCTTAAAATAGTGGGAGGTATCAAACTTGGCTTGTTTTCACGTCCGAACTGTTCATCTTGAACTGTCCCTTGATGCCAGACAATATCAAGGCGATGGATCGGTGGATGGGGTCACAGACGAGTCGAAGGGCAGGCTCGTAGGCTAGATTGAACACCCGCAACCATACGTAGTATAACTTCATGCTTGGTTGGACGAACCAGACGACGGCGAAGTGCATGACCGCGAACGACAAGCCAAACGAGAACGCCATGAGCGGGGCAAGGAGCAGGTTCAGGACGGCGTAAAAAGCGAACTGATGGGAAAGATCAAGCGTGAGGGAAGTTCGGGATTGAGTTTTTATCGCTTATAATTATGATTACTGGATCGATAGTTGAACATAAGAGACAATGGGCAGTATGATATAGCATACCAACACTGTTTTTAATCCAGGACAGGTTTAAATCCTACCAAAGTTTGTAGATTTATACTCATTTAAATTTATTTATGTTACCAACAAAAAAATACAAATAAATTATAATCATTTACAACAACAAAGGAATACATAAGCCTATAGGAAACAAAGTGGTCCAATAAAAATCAATGCTTGTACAATAAATATTGTGGTCCCCTCAAATGATAGTTAGGAATAATGACTAATTAAATTTAACAAATTTGTAACTACAAAAAGAAACTGGAAATTAAAATAAAGGGGGATACCAACAGAGACGAGAACGGGACAAGAGAGTCATTTACATGACAGGAGAACACGGTCACAAAACAGAAAGTAGACAATGCTAAAAAAAGAAGTGAGAGATCGGGGGTACAGAAAATAATTCAAAAGGATGAACTGCATGACATGTGGGGTTGAGAAGAAGATGAGGAAGGAGAAATGCGCATTAAAACGAAATAAACATGAGAGGGCACAATATAATAATCAAAATTACATTTTGAGTCAGCAAGTAGAGAATGACCTTGTTTTTAAAAAAAGACAACAAAGTAATCATCTTAAAACTCCTTTGATATATGGATCGTCAAGTGTCAAACACTCTATCCCATAAAAAAATAATTCCGTTGATACTAAGAAACAATAATTAAGATACCACGAAATCAATAACATTCATTTTATAATTGGGTTAGTTTTGTTGATTCATTTTATCATAGAATTACGGTAATTAATTTCTACAGAAATAAGGATTCAATCTTTATAAACAGGCACAGTTAAATGGGCCCGCACATTGTACGCCTACGATTACTTTATCATTAAGAAAATACTCACGTGAGTGTATTTATAGATTGCTCCATTGACCTTTTCCATAAATGAGAACCCCATGATGTCTTTGGATTCCTTAAAGGTATCTGCAAAGCCAGTCTGAGAAAGGAAGAACAAAATATCGAAAACATTCTGGAATTCATTTTTGTGTTATTTTACCATTTATATTGGATGAAATATAAGCCGTAAACTCAAGAATAGTTAGAGGATAACTAAAAGTTTAGATTTCTTCCTCCATTATATTTTTAGAACTATATAACAAGCATTTTTTTTTAGGTATTATGATCATTCATAATATATTTTCACTGTAGCAATATTTCATATTCAAGCCTTGAGGTTTCTAATCTAGTAACACAGTAAAATAATTACTTTATTCTTGGCAATTGGTTGACATATTCGACCTTTTCCCATCATCAACAACTCAAAGAGGATGCGGCCTGCACAATGACTTGGAATTACTAACTTATGCCGTCTCATACACAAAAGAAGATGAGTAACAACGAAATAGGCCCGCGAGCCCAAGATTGTCAGTCTCGTTGCCTGCCGGTCTCGACAGTCTAGAAAAAATTATTCCTGTTCAAGTCTTTTTGTGAATTTTGTGATCCCATGTTACCTCCGAAATTAGCTCAAGTTTGTTGCCCAAAAGAATTTTTCGTAATCTGTATTTAAATCCAAATGGCCACATTCAACCTGTCGTCATATTAAACAGCCCAATACGCCTTACGCCTTATACAACCTCCGCTCGTTGCAATCCCATGTTGCATATTATATTTGCAGAAGACTTGATTTTGATATGCAAATTACTCAAGAAACCCGAAATTCAGGGGTATAATCGTATGTGGTCCACATACGATTAAACCCCCCCCCCTCCCCCCCCCCCCCCCCCAAGAAAAAAAATCCAAAGAAAGTACTTTTGTAGATTCACTATTTATGGTAAGGGAGCGGCAAGTGGACGATTAGATTCGTGTCTATATATTATACCGTAACATGTGGAGAGAGCCTGTAGACATCTTCAATATCAGATTGGTCGACACCTTGTGTAAGTGGTACTTGCACTGTTCCCGATGGACCGTTTTCTGGATGTATCAGCTCCATAATCTTCTTCGATTGCTTTGCTCCTTCAGATTGGTCAAAAAGAAGAAGAAAAAAAGAATCAGGTTATTCTAATGAATATTCATCATGATACATGAACATTCATAACTTAGTCGCATAATTATTATAGAAATATGCACGTGTTTAAATGCTTCAACATAATCTAGTCAGAAATTGGGATCCCCGTGCAAGGAGATATATTTTTAAATTAAAGACTTTATCCAAACTCAAAAATTGAATTGAAGTCTTATAGACCGTGTTTGATCTCTCACTGATCACGGTGATAAGAGACACAGAGAGAAAGAGAAAGAGAGAGAGAGAGAAAGAGGAAGAGAGAGAGAAAGAGAGAGAGAGAGAGAGAGAGGGGAGGGGAGAGAGAGGGAGAGAGACAGAACAATGTATAATACCGACATTTTCTACATTAAAGGGATAGTTGAGTTCTGTTTTCAGACCGCAAATGCCTTCAAAGTGCATGGTTATTGCTCTTATTCTTATCTATGACATTTATAGTGCCCTTTTAAAACCTAAAATTGCTATGAAGGTAATTTTAGACCTCAAAATGTGTGAAATTTAGCCAATACGATCATACCAATTCAGCTCCACTCTCTACGGAGCCCCTAAGGTGACATGTCAAAAAAAAAAATCAGAAGTCGTGCGCACGACTTAGCTAACTCGTGCCCACGACTTACTAACTCGTGCCCACGACTTACTAACTCGTGCCCACGACTTACTAACTCGTGCCCACGACTTACTAACTCGTTACCACGACTTATAGGTGACATGTCAATTTTTTTTTCTTCATAAGTCGTGCGCACGACTTACCTAACTCGTGCGCACGACTTAGCTATCTCGTGCCCACGACTTAGCTAACTCGTGCGCACGACTTAGCTATCTCGTGCGCACGACTTAGCTAACTCGTGCGCACGACTTAGCTTACTCGTGCCCACGACTTAGCTAACTCGTGCGCACGACTTAGCTAATTCGTATGGCGCGCCATTTGACCAATAACCCAGATAAACACTGTTTATCCCCGAAAAACAGTTTATCGCTCGCCATTTGCTAAATAGTTCAGATAATCAACGATAAACAGTGTTTTTCGCTCGACATACATTGTTTTTCGGCGATAAACAAGGTTTATCGAAAACACAGTTATTCGTATTTCGTCAGGAGTGGGCGCTTTTTAAAGTTGCACCCAGCTCAGAGCACTGCTCCGCACGTGCGCCTTACACCGTAGAATATACCAACGACGTAACACTTGCTCGCGCTCATGACCACGATCGACATTTTCTGAGTGGAGGTATGGCGAAGTATTCTTAATTCCAGGATTTTTTCCCAATTTTTTGGAATTTTATGTTTATATATCTCTCTCAAACCATAGACGTAATAGAAATGGACTTTTGACGGCAAGAGTAGTAAAAGTAATGATAGCTACCACCTGTTCTTATGTCTTACTTTCTTCTATGTTTTAAGTCTGACCGCAACGCTGCGGGCATGTTTTGATAAGCTCCGATAAGGGTCCTTTGGTCCTATGAGATCCACCGGGATTTTGCCGACCTCTATCGGCCAAGTCGCTTCGCACTGACCAATGCTTCCCACGATTTGCGCTTCTCATTTCATGAATGAATCGTGACAGGAGAGCCTTCTGCCCATGCGCAGCTAAATACTACGTCAATAATGCCCCGGATGTAAACATGAGGTTTACGTCCTGTTCATGCTCGCCAATCTGTAAAAAAAGCCGTTGAAATCGGTGATTTCTTCGATTTTTTACGAATTTGTGTTGGTGTGTAGCAAACTCATCATATAAGCAAGGAAAGTCACCACAAGAGCTTACAAAATACAGTTTAAAAAGTGTTTTTTTCTCCTGTTTCCGTTAATTTCTCTGTGAAACCAACGACGTTGTGGTGATCACAAATCCTTCGCTGGTCGAATACAATCATTCGTTATTTGTTGCGTTTGCGTGCGTTTTTTTTATAGGCATTGGAAGAATGGGGTTGTTTTCGCGAGTGCTCAGAAAATCTGTGGTAATGCGTGACTTCTTCGCATCATGACCACTAAATTGCCGTGCCTTTGTCTAATCCAAATTGCACACGTAGTCCCATTGATAGAGATCGGCGGGTGCATGTTTTTTTCAAGTTATATTTTGGACTTGTTAATCCGAGAGTGACTGCTTTTTTTTTTCTTCCCTCAGATTTTATCTTATTTTATCTTGATGTAGGCCTACTATATGTGTACGTTTTTTTTTGAGAATCTAGGAATTAGGATAGATATCTGTGTCCGTAACTTTGGGAATTGACCATTGCAAAATATTCAACATTTCCGTCGTCTGCTATGTCGATATATGGACTGCCCATCATAATCATTAAGTTCTTCCTTATTTATGTCATCTAATGATAATCCTGCCCTTCTGATTACTTTATAAACAACACATGACTCATGAGTACGAGAAAAATATGTATTATGGAACAATACACACATCGAAATAAATAATAATTGTTAGTATAAATACAACGCTGAAAACAAAAAACAATAATATCGTCAGGCACAAAGACGAAAACATGTTCGCTACGACCGCATGGCGGAGAGCGCTCATACTATTTAACACTAGGTTCTCAACGATTTGAAGGAGCAGCGAACAACCCCAAATCGCGAGCTTGCTGTTGCGATTATGAAAGATTGCGCAAGTGATCGCATCCAGCTGTCGGGTTGCGGTGGGACCACCGCTGGGTTTTTGCCTCGGCGCGAAATTTAAACCTTGCCGGTGGAACTCATAGGATCAAAGAAACTGCTTCGTCGATAGTCCATTCTATTACGTCTATGCTCAAACTCTCTCTCTTTCAAACTTTCTAGGTTTTCCCCTTCTCTTATCTATCTCACTCTCTATCTCTCCCTCACTCCCCCTTTCTTTCTCTCACTCTCTCTTTCTCCTACCCTCTCAATATAACCCTTCTGTCTCTCCCTCTTTATCTTTCTTCTAATTCTCTCTTTCCCTTTCTCTTTCCTTTTTCTTTCTCTCTCTTTCAAGTTCTTTTCTTTCTCTGCACTCCCTCGCTGCCTCCTCTCCTTTGTTCTATTTCCCCCGGTATGAGAAATAGGGTAGAGATAGATGGATGGAGAGAGAGGAGAGATAAATGAGAGATAGAGGAGAGATAGAGGAGAGATAGATCTCCATCCATCTATCCCCGCTCTATCTCTCCTCTATCTCTCATTTATCTTACCTGGAATTAAGAATACTTCGCCATACCTCCACTCAGAAAATGTCGATCGTGGTCATGAGCGCGAGCAAGTGTTACGGTGTTGGTATATTCTACGGTGTAAGGCGCACGTGCGGAGCAGTGCTCTGAGCTGGGTGCAACTTTAAAAAGCGCCCACTCCTGACGAAATACGAATAACTGTGTTTTCGATAAACCTTGTTTATCGCCGAAAAACATTGTTTATCGAGCGAAAAACACTGTTTATCGTTGATTATCTGAACTATTTAGCAAATGGCGAGCGATAAACTGTTTTTCGGCGATAAACAGTGTTTATCTGGGTTATTGGTCAAATGGCGCGCCATACGAATTAGCTAAGTCGTGGGCACGAGTTAGCTAAGTCGTGGGCACGAGATAGCTAAGTCGTGCGCACGACTTATGAAGAAAAAAAATTGACATGTCACCTATAAGTCGTGGTAACGAGTTAGTAAGTCGTGGGCACGAGTTAGTAAGTCGTGGGCACGAGTTAGTAAGTCGTGGGCACGAGTAAGTAAGTCGTGGGCACGAGCTAGTAAGTCGTGGGCACGAGTTAGCTAAGTCGTGCGCACGACTTCTGATTTTTTTTTTTTTGACATGTCACCTTAGGGGCTCCGTAACTCTCAAAGAAACACGGTGACCGTTAATTAATTATTTAATTAAAAATAACAATACATGAGCCGGCTGATTGTGGGTAATAATTATAAGCAACACGAAAATGCCAACAAAAAAGCGAACATCGGCATTGGCTAAAATACGACGTAAAAGGCGTTATTTCGTTTTTTTCAACGGTTTTCAACGGTTTTTTCAAATTTTTCAAAATATCTACTATTTGTGGTGGTACGTAAGTAAGTTTTAGAAATCGTTATATTTCAGCCGTCCCTGAACCGATTTTGATCAAACAAAGATGATTTTGTCATTTAAATATTATGTTCTTTCCAATTTGACACTCAGTTTTTCATTATCTCACCAAAAAGTTATTTTGTGAAGCGCCCTCTGCAACAGAACTCAACTATCCCTTTAAGATTTTCTCTAGTTCAAAATGTGGGTGCATTTTTTTCTTTCTATCTAATATTTCCTCATATTTTACGCCAAATGTTTTTTTTTGTCATGTTTGTACTTTATGTTTCCTACGATATTTAAAATAATATTACTTGAAATCGTCGAATTTTTGAAGATGTATGGAACATGGGCCTATATAAATATGTGCAACCATGTTTCTTCAGTCGTTATAATGCTGCCATAATTATTATCATAGTTATGTTTCTTCTATTATGTTTCTTGAAGGTTTGGTGATTTGTGTTTACAAACCATGTGTATGCTTGTAAGTAAGTAACAAGGGGACCGGCGACTTTAGATCCTCTCCGAGGGACTTGGTAATGAGGATAAATAATGCTTGACCAAACGGCATCAGTGCACCGACTTGGTATCGAACCCTGGACCACCCGGTTTCAAAAATGCTTCTCTACCACGGAACCATCGTGCCTCCTTCATAATGATCAGGCACGTACCACGGGGGGGGGGGGGGTAGTCCAGCCTCTGTACCGTTTTCGTTTAACGCACCCAATCAGCTGATAAAATAACACACCCTCAACGTTGAAAGTAGACCTAGCCATTCCTCTAAATCTGGACCTCGAATACGACTTCCAAAGTAGGGGGGGGGGGGCCGGGGGGGGGGCACCAACATTGGGATTAGATTATCAGGGATTATTTCATCGTTTGTTTCTCTCTTTACATGGTCCAAGATACTGCTTAATCATCATACTTTGCAGTTGAGTGTGATGGTCTGAGCATCATTCGTGAGCGAGCGAGCAAAAATATTAAGATTTGTGAAGTCGAAATGCGAAACTTGAATTTCAATAAAGATGAAAAACAAATTCTAATCATGAAAGACTTAAAAGATCTTTATATGAGAAAAAAAAATCATAATAACTTAAAATGCGAGCGTATCGGTTGGGATTTGGGTGAAATCAAAGAAAAAAAAATGTTCTTTGTCGCTTTAAACTAGGAGTAATTATTGTAATAAGGGGTTTTCTGCCAAAAAAGTTTGGATCGACATTCCCCCCCCCCCCCCCGGTTTCTACGCAAGTGTTGTAGATTGAAAACTGTGAGGCAGTAGAGAAAAACGTAATTTAGAAGGGGAATTTAAAACGGAACGGAATGAGGACATTTGTATACAAATACATTAGCACCAATATAGAGTCACTTGGTTATTGTCACCCGAGCTAAATTAATTAGCAAGGCACCGCTGAACAAAACATCAAATGTATATGGATATAGTAATTAATTCGAGAACATGATACACGAAAGCTCACGCTGCATAAGATTATTATCATTTCAAGAGTTCAGCGGGAATTCCAGAAACTTCTTTTCTCTCTCTCTCTCTCTTTTTTTTCTTTTTTTTTTTGTGGGGGGGGGGGACAGAAACATTTAGGGGTGTTTAACCCCCCCCCCTTCCCAAAAAAAACAAAAAAAAAAAAAAAAAAACCTGCGTAGGCGCATGTCTGTAGAAAACATTTACGGTATTTCCGATCTACAAAAAAAGAATATAATGAGGCTTAATAATTTTATTAAAATTCAAGTCTAATGGATAGTCCAATACGATTTACTTTTGGCTGGCGTGCAAGCGTCGCAGATTGTACGAGAAGTTTTAAGTCCTAAAAGATTCATTTGCAGAAGTTACTTTCATTAAAACTTGTAATCGTATATTCGATTAAATGAAGCTTTAAATACTTCAATTTCAATTTCAAATGATTTTACTTCTCATGCAAAACATAATACAATGAATAATTATATTACAAAAATATGCAATTAAACGAAAAATATAATATAAAAAGCATGAGAAAAGAGGAACTAACTAGAAGCAGAGCTTGTTAAAGTGTTTGTTCCTCAGATGCTGTTTTACAATATAACATGAACAAAGAATGCTTAGAATATAATTATGTAATGGAGGAAAATAGTAGAGGGCAAAAAGAAAGAAAGATACAAAAAAGGGAAAATGAATGATTGCAAACATTTTATGCCTCCCACAAATTTCCAAGATCGGTTGAACTTTTTTAGACCCCTTTTTTACCTCGATCGATTACATGTATGTGCCCCCCCCCCCCAAAAAAAAACATCAAACTCTGGCTACGTGCCTGATAATAATAATATGTCACAAAACTTAATGATATGGAAATTTGAATAAATTAAAATAAAATGAATAATAGACACTGATATTGAAGACGAGGAATAGACGAACAGGAAAACATATATTTAACTTTGAGTAAAAAGGAATAGAAAGATAAGTACTACGACGTATACGTGTACGGGGTCACTTCGTTTGAAATAGAAACCAACTCTCTTCCATTACATAAAAATCGAAGAGAATCTAGACTTACCTGGTATTAAGCCCTTCCTTTTGTATAATTGATAATCAAATTACTGCAAAATGATTTCCCTTTTTCCAGAATTAAATTCGACTTGTGATCAATGATGGTTTTATACCGCTGACTGTCTTGATACGATTTATCTGGCTTGAACTGTGCCAAAACGAAAGCGTGTGAGTGTATACTGGTTGCCTTAGAGCGATTCCATTAATAAACCGGGTAATAATTATCTTCGTATTGTGAGGACTATTATGACGAACGTGAACCTCGATTTGGTGTGTATACGGTCGATTTATACATACTCGGAGTCGGAGCTATTGTGAAAATTTCCAATTGGCCTTCCCCCTATTTGTTTTGACTCACGACTATAGGGCAGCGTTTCACGAAACTGTCGTAATTACAAATTCACCGACATCCCATCGAAACTCGTTGTAATTAACACACGATTCAATGTGATATCGATGAACTTGTACTTATTACGGTTTCGTGAAACTATGCCCTGACCATTAAGAAAATTAAGCAATGAAACAAGGTACTATAAATATTTCAGATTAAGGGCCCTTATATGGTCTTCTTGCGAGTCTTCCCAATTTATTCCATTGCCCAGATTTTATAATTTTGATCGACTCTTTCGTCTGTACTCTAGTACAGACGAAAGAGTCAATCTAGGTGAACATAATGTTAAGCAAAAAAGGGACCCCTATAATGCCATAAGGGTGCGCTGATAAAAATTCAGATAAGTCTTTTAGACCGTTTTTAGATCTCTCACTGATCGCAGTGATAAGAGACAGAGAGAGAAAGAGAAAGAGAGAGAGAGAGGAAGAGGGAGAGAGAGAGAGAGAGAGAGAGAGAGAAAGGAGAGAGAGAGAGAGAGAGGGGAAGAGAGAGAGAGAGGAAGAGAGAGAGGGAGAGAGAGAGGAAGAGGGAGATAGAGAGAGAGAGAGAGGGAGAGGGAGAGAGAGAAAGAGAGAAAGAGAGAGAGAGAGAGGAGAGAGAGAGAAAGAGAGAAAGAGAGAGAGAGAGAGGGAGAGGGAGAGAGAGAGAGAGAGAGAGGAAGAGGGAGATAGAGAGAGAGAGAGAGAGAGAGGAAGAGGGAGATAGAGAGAGAGAGAGAGAGAGAGGGAGAGGGAGATAGAGGGAGAGAGAGAGAGAGAGGGAGAGAGAGAGGGGGAGAGAGACAGAAGATTGCTCGACTCAGGAAAATGTAAAATACCGACTTTTCTACATTCAGATTTTCTCTAGTTCAAAATGTGGGTGCATTTATTTTTCTATCTAATATTCCCTCATATTTTACCTCAAAGATTGTCTTTTGTCATGTTTGTACTTTAAAATAATATTACATGAAGCCGTCGAATTTTTGAATATGTATGTAACATAGGCCTATATAAATATGTACAACCATGTTTCTTCAGTTGTTATAATGCTGCCATAATACATAGTCTCTTCTATTATGTTTCTTGAAGGTTTGGTGATTTGTGTTTACAAACCATGTGTATGCTTGTAAGTAAGTAACAAGGGGACCGGCGCGGCGGCTTAAGATCCTCTCCGAGGGACTTGGTAATGAGGATAAATGCCTGACCAAACGGCATCAGTGCACCGACTTGGTATCAAACCCTGGACCACCCGGTTACGAAAAAGATTCTCTACCACTGTGCCATCGCGCCTCCTTCATAATTATGTATGATAATTATGTCACAAAAATTAATGATGTGGAAATTTGAATAAACTAAAATAAAATGAAGACTAGACACTGATATAGGAGACGAGGAATAGACGAACAGGAAAGCAAAGTATGAATATTTAACATGGAGTAAAAAAAAAAAAAAAAAAAAAAAAAAGGATAGAAAGATAAGTACTACGACGTATACGTGTACCCTAGTACACGTATACGTTTGAAATAGAAACCAACGCTGATAATTTAGTCAAATCCACACGTACACGTACGCACGCAAACACACACACACACTCTCTCTCTCCTAACTTCCATTACATAAAAACCGAAGAGAACCTTGACTTACCTGGTATTAAGCCCGTCTTTTTGTATAGTTGATAGTCAGATTACTGCAAAATAATTTCCCTTTTTCCAGAAAATTCGACTTGTGATCAAAGATGGTTAAATACCGCTGACTCTCTTGATACGATTTATCTGGCTTGAACTGTGCCAAAACGAAAGCGTGTGAGTGTATACTGGTTGCCATGGAGCGATTCCATTAATGAACCGGACAAATATTTTCGTCGTATTGTGAGGACTATTATGACGAACTTGAACTTCGATTTGGTGTGTATACGGTCGATTTATACATACTCGGAGTCGGAGCTATTGTGAAAATTTCCCATTGGCCTTCCCCCTATTTGTTTTGACCTCACGACTATAGGGCAGCGTTTCACGAAACTGTCGTAATTACAAATTCACCGACATCCCATCGAAACTCGTTGTAACTAACACACGTTTCAATGTGATATCGATGAACTTGTACTTATTTCGGTTTCGTGAAACAATGCCCTGACCATAATGAAAATGAAACAAGGTCAGACGTTACATTTAGACGAGTCGAGAACAATACAACGAATCGTCTTCTTTCTCTTATAATTTAAGGAAACGTAAAAGAGAGGGGGAACTGAATACAGGCAAAATTAATAGGGCTTATTCAGATTTGAAAACGGTAAAACGAATCGTGTTCTTTATCTTAAAATTAAAGGAAACGTCAAAGCTTCCGCGCTTCGCGCGAGAGGGGAAAACTGAATTCATACAAAATTAATAGGGCTTATAGAGAGTCGAAAACGGTAAAACGAATCGTGTTCTTTGTCTAATAATTTGAGGAAACGTCAAAGCTTTCGCGCTTCGCGCGAGAGGGGGAAACTGAATTCAGACAAAATTAATAGGGCTTATTTAGAGTCGAAAACGGTACAACGAATCGTGTTCTTTGTCTAATAATTTGAGGAAACGTCAAAGCTTTCGCGCTTCGCGCGAGAGGGGAAAACTGAATTCATACAAAATCAATAGGGCTTATTTAGAGTCGAAAACGGTAAAACGAATCGTGTTCTTTCTCTAATAATTAAAGGAAACGTCAAAGCTTTCGCGCTTTGCGCGGAAGGGGAAAACTGAATTCAGATGAATAGGGCTTAATAAGATTCGAAAACGGTACGAGGAATCGTCTTTCTTTCTCTATAATAATTATTGAGATGAAACGCCAAAAAGGCCGCGCTTTGCGCGGAAGGGGAAAACTACATTTAGACGAGTCGAGAACGGTACAACGAATCGTCTTCTTTCTCTAATAATTTAAGGAAACGGCAAAGATTCCGCGCTTCGCGCGAGGGGGGAACTGTATACAGACGACATTAATAGGGCTTATTTAGAGTCGAAAACGGTACAACGAATCGTGTTCTTTCTCTAATAATTAAAGGAAACGTCAAAGCTTCCGCGCTTCGCGCGAGAGGGGGAAACTGAATTCATACAAAATTAATAGGGCTTATTTAGAGTCGAAAACGGTACAACGAATCGTGTTCTTTCTCCAATGACATGAGGAAACGTCAAAGCTTTCGCGCTTTGCGCGGAAGGGGAAAACTGAATTCAGATGAATAGGGCTTAATAAGATTCGAAAACGGTACGAGGAATCGTCTTTCTTTCTCTATAATTATTGTGATGAAACGCCAAAAATGCCGCGCTTTGCGCGGAAGGGGAAAACTACATTTAGACGAGTCGAGAACGGTACAACGAATCGTCTTCTTTCTCTAATAATTTATAGAAACGTCAAAACTTCTGCCCTTCGCGCGGTAGGGGGAAGCTTCATTCAGATAAGGATTAAGAGTCGAGAACAGTACACCGAATCGTCTGCTTTTTCTCATAATTTAATGAAACGTCAAAGCTTCCGCGCTTTGCGCGGGAGGGGGGGGGGGGGGAGGGGAAACCGAATTCAGAAAAGGATAAACAGTCGAGAACGGTACATCAAATCGTCTTCTTTTTTATAATAATAAAATAATAATAATAATAATAATAACAGCCTAATAGTCCACTCCAAATTTTATTAAACCGAAACGGAAATTCTTTTTGCCCAATTGATCGTGAGCCCGGCAGCCACTGAGCAGCGCCAGATCGACGTTGCTCTATCCTTTATTGTTGAACTTCATTCAGCCAAGGATTACCAGTCGAAAACGGTACAATTAATTGTCTTCTTTTCCTAATAATTGAAGGAAACGTCTAAGCTTCCGCTCTTCGCGCGGGAGACCCATCACCCACACCCCCCTAATGAGCGCGATTTTAAGTGATTCTCTTGCTCACTCCCGCCCCTCCCTAAAATAAGATCCTAGCTCCGCGCTTGCATTAAAATATATAGCTATGATGCTCACTAAATTGAAGAAATAATTCGTATATTTATGTCGTCGAGGAAAATGACCATTTTGCGCATATGCAAGTATAATAGATAGTCCATAGGAAAAACAATTTAGCCTTCGGCCCCAGGTTTATAGGGTTGAATTTGTAGGTATTGGACATTTAATTTTGTCGGTAATCGATGGCTAGTTTTGTCGGTAATCGTTGACCTCTACACCCCCCCCCCCCCCCACTGAAAAAGGTCTAGCGACGCCCCTGCATGCAGGTTGCCAAAATTTTCATTGAAAGGCGATACGTTTTGGGGTAGATATTACCTGCCAGCAGACGCGCCGGAAGCAGTTTGGGATGGGGGGGGGGGGCAAACATTCCAGGGGGCTCACCTTATAGGGGCATGGCGTAATGAGCAAAAAAAGCGGAACGTTTCTCAAAGTGGTGTTAACGATCAGGTAGAACGTAGCTAGCGTAAATTGGCGGGGGTCCTGGGGGCAAAGCTCCCGGAAGCTCACGAGTTTTAAGTATTTAATTACGGTCAGATAAGCATTCAGAGGCCCTCTCTAGGGCCCTTGATGGGGTCTAGAGGGCAGAGCCCCCGGAAGCTCAGAGGTTTTAGGTATTTAATTACTGTCAGATGAGCATATTTCGATACCTCATATGTGACATTGGCAGGTCACGTACTTTTTGTCTCTCTCTTTTAATAGTTTTTCACTTTAACATACTTTTTCAAAAAAATGAGGGGGCCCCCGAGCCCCGCCGTTCTGCAGGTCCTGATATAAAGGCTTCTAAGTAAGCATATTTTTCGCCCGACTGTTAATTTGAAAATTTCTAATTGTCCAACAAACGCATAAAAATGTATGACTCACCAAAAAATTGAGAAAAAATCCCGGAAAATCATGTCATTTCAGAAACATTTGTAAATCACTGGTTTCGAATTAGAAATACTACCCCTCCCCCTG